GCGGCACCCACCGGCGCAGTGCATCGCCAACAGCAGCAGGAGCAGCGCCAGTGGGAGAAACGGTGCAAGACAGCGTGGCCGGCGCATGGCTTGAGAAACGTGTGTGCGTGTTAGTTAGTTTGGAATAGATGTATTAGAAGCAGCAGCAAAGGATTTGTCTGATGGAGGAGGAAAATGAAGGGGGAAAAAAAGGAAGGAGAGGCTGATGCCATAAAAGTAAGAGGAGGTAACAGTTGTGTGACCAGGGGCTCTTAAAGCTACTCCGGCAGCATGGCTGGTGCGGAAACGGCTTCGCAGCAAGGCGCGAGAGATACCAGCAATAATTGATGACGATTATGTGGAAATGGAAATTCCCTGACAATTCATTCTTTGCATGCCTTTCTCCGACATCCAGAGCGCAAAGGTTTGCTGGTATTGGCCGGGCAGTGGGCGTGCCAGAAAGCCCCACACCGCTCACCACCCGGTAGAGCAAAAGAACCCCTTGTGCCAATTGTTTTGCTTCTGTAATTCCTTGTTGCTGCGCCGTTATGAACCGTCATTTCCCCCTCACCCCAAGCACGCGCGCGCACACACACGACTCCATGGAAAAGGAAAAGTTTCCAGTATAGCGGGGCGTTTCGGTTGGGCCCGGAGCGCCGTCGTGTCGTTCTTTGGCGGCGCCACCTCAGCTCACTCTCTGCGCGTGGACGTGGGTACGCGCACGTGCACCCACAACGCGTAGCCCTTTAACTCAGAAAGTTTGTAAACTTCTCTCCCCCCTCCCCAGCCAGTTGCAACATTCTCAGACCATTCATTCCATCGCCAAAGACAATACACTCTGCCAAGACGACTTGCACACCGTCACTGGGCAGCTGACCAACTAACTCCTGCACCGCGTTTCCCTTCATCGCCCCCAGAGGGCAAACACCCAAGCAGCAGGCGGAAGAGAAGGCCAACTCTGTTCGCTTTCCATACTTCGCCACGATAACCCTCTCCAGCTCCCGGGAGCGTTCCGTGTCGTCTGACATAAATACCAACTTTGCTGCATCGGAGAGCGGATTGTGGCCAGAGCGATCCCCCGCGTACGACCCTTCCCGCTCCACGTAGCGCCGATACTGAGCAACAAGGTCGCACAGTCGCACCAAGTTGTATCTGAAGCCGCTAAGCCTGCGCTGCCCGAGTTCGTCCTTCCCGTCGAACCATGACCTCCACTTGTCCCCTCGATAGATGTTGACGTAGATCTCCTCCTCGTCTGCAGGCAGAAGCTCCATCTCACCACGCCCTCCCCCCGCCTTACCGGAGGACGGAGTCCCTGCAAACCTGTGCACGTGGAAACCATTGGACGTGATAAGGTAGCCTGGACGTGGTAGCTCCAGGATGCACAGAAAAGCGGCGCCATCGCAGTGGTGGCGCCCGGCTGCCAAGACAACTTCCACGCCCCCTCTGAGAGAAGCTTCAAGGCTCCGTATTGGCTGCACTCATGCTGCCACCTGGCAGCAAAAACATCCCATCCAGATCGGCCACTACCACGGCGCACGGAAGCTGCGCCGTCATGGCTTCACACACTTGTTATACGGTCATCCCCCCCCTTTTGCCCAAGTCAAGAGATACCGACCCCAAAACGAAACAAAAAACAACGGCCCCGACAAAGCAAAAGAGGCATAAACTCCCCGCAGAGAAGTGCCACAGGAAAAACTGGAATTCAAATATAATAATAATAAAAACAATCGCCGTCGCGCACACTCCGCGCGACCCCACTCCCTCTGTGATACTGTTCGACTCCGCCGGAAACGGTGTCGGGGTAGTTCTACTTTGGGGCAACCGCACGTTTAATAAACATGCAGCAAGGCACAAGCAAGGCCCCCACCAATGATAAAAAACCACGAGGTCAAAGTCATGCCAAAGGCAACGCCGTACGCCGTTCTCCGTGGCAGCCGTGCGTCCTCGCAGTACCGACTCTCGAATATACTGGTTACTGCAGCCCACGAAATCATCTGAAACACGAAAGCGATGAACAACAGTAAGAGAACAAACAGGCGCAGCTTCGACAAATCCTGACGCAGAAGCAGGCCACAGCACACCACTGCAAAGAGAACAATAATCGTCATTAAACTCAAGGCAGCTCCCACCTGGAGTCTTTTCCGGACAGGCTCGCAGGTGATTAAGGAGGTGCGATTGGTGTAAATGGGGCTGTCGCAGTCCTCCTTGTAGCCCCAGTACGTGTAGCAAGCACCACCCACCACATCTACCTGA